CGGATAATCTTGAATTATTTACAACTGCAAGGTATAAACAAAATTTATTTAATTTATCTTTAATTCCAATTTTGTATTGTATAGAATTATTTTAGCTATTGATCTGGAAGTTTGGTTTCTTTTTTCATTACGTTTTGTTAGTGCGATTAAATTATTAGGTCCAAAATTAATAATGATTAGAAATATGGTTTGTAGAATTTTTAAATTAGAAAAATCTTAATTGATTTGATTTAGTTAAAAGATTTAATAGCATTTATTTATATAATATTTGTTTGTATTGCTGCATATGGTGTTGTATCACGTGCATTAGTTATGTATAATTATATTGATTTTACGGCAAAAAGTGTTTTTACAGCTGTCTTTTATCAACCTTATTGGCTTTTATATTCTGTTGCTGATAATGAAACAGGATATCTTGATAGTAAATTCTATTTTTATACAATTTCATTTCAGTTTCTTTTTCTATAGATATTATTTCTAATGGCACAGCATCAGAAGTAGCAGAAGCAACTGTTAATCATATTCTCTTAACTTTTCATATGCTTTTTATTAATATTTTAATTCTTAATTTACTCATCGCTGTTTTTAAGTAAAGTTTTTTTGCTTAATATTTTAATGAATACTTTATTGAGTATAATTTAGTTTTTCAATTAATGATGTTCAAGAAAAAAATGAATTTTTTTTGGCGTTTTCAACGATATGAATTAACACGTGAATATTTTGAAAAAACCAATATTTGCTTATCCACCTCTTTCCATTATTGCTTATATTATATGGTTCATTCAAGTCATTTTCTGTAAAGGAACAACTTTTCGTGTATTTAGTAAGTTTAAATCAGATATTTCGTTAGATGACTATGTTATACATAGAACGTCTTTGCAATCAATCTCAAATGGATATTTATTGGAGTGAATTTGAAAGTGCTGCTACTGATAAATATGCACGTCAATTTATTGAAGAAAATTATCGACCAAAAGATGATATTACAATCTCAACGTAAAATTTATTTATTGATTGATTTTTCATCGTTTTTTTGTTCAATTATTTTAAGATTACAAACACAAATTAATATATTACAAGATGAAAATGAACAAATGAGAAACGAGACAAATGAAATTAAAAATCGAGTATATTGAAAAAAGAAATTTAGAAAAAAAGAAAAAATATTTTCCTTATTTAGACTACAATTGGTATGAAATGGATGATTTCAGCTATGAAACGTGTTAAAATGTCTCGTATTGACCCACCACCAGAATTCAGAGATTGAATACTTAATCATTTAAATGACTTGATTTTATTTCTTTAAATATGCAAAATTTTTAATTTTTATCAAAAAAAACTTTCGGAAATGTATAATTATTATTATCAATAAAACTATGTTAAATCCATAGATCTCAAAGATGAGAATAATTTCGATATGAATTAAGCAGGATGTAGGTGTGTCTCTTCTCTTAGCTTATACGCACACGCACCCTATCTGCTGTTTTGGAAATTATGTTGAGAAAATTAGTATTTGTAAGATTTTTTGGTCTTTTAAAAATTAATTTTTAAGATTTAGTTTTCTACCATGTAGAATATTTAAACCACCTGAAGATTGATCTTTTATAAGATTGAAATTCCGCATTTGTGGTAGTTTTATTTAAACTCAATTTAGCTGTTCTCGCAACTGTCAAACGAATCAAACATTATATAGATGTTTGTTACAATATAACAGTTTAATTTAGATCTTAATTTTAATTTTGAATTTATCTTTGAAATTGAAATCGATCTTAAGCCATCTAATGATCTTCGTAGCTGCAGTGAAATATAGATTATGGCAGCTATTATCCTCTAGATTCTTCAATTCAATTCAATCAAATTGTCAAGTTGAAAACAACCTAATAAGCGAAAATTTCATTCAAAATAATTTTTTTTGTAACAAAGTTTTTATTGGAAAATATTTGCAGACAATAAAAAAAACAAAAAATCACTATGTAGCAGTCTTCGCCCAAACCAATGAATACAAATTGTCTATATCAGCCCACCAATAATGCGATTCTGGGACACCGCTCCAATCTGGCTTCGGTCCATCTGGATAAGGATCTTCAAAATCCATATTATAATTCAGGCCAAGGAAATACCATTTTTCATTAAAGTCTTCTTTTAAAGCAGTCATATCCTGTTCTTTCTCCGGACTGTTCGGCACGAATTTTCCAAAATCATCAACCAGGAATTTGGCAGCCGACAAATACTTGAGATATTCGAATAAATCTTGTTCACGGGTGTTTCTGCAAAGACGTAGAATGCCCTTGCGACGTCCAAGAATTTGATAAACTTTGGGCAGTTCTTGTTCGAGTTGATGACATTCGACTTCTTCAAATGCAGTCAAATTGGCGAGACTCCGTTTGCGAGCGTATTCAAATGTTGAAATGAGAAAACTGGCAACTTGCAAAACAGTAATCTCGCTCGATGCCTTCGCTATGGAAGCAAGGTTTTGTAAAAAAGTGGTACGCATTGAACCAAGTGACATCTAAAAAATGAGCATTATTTATTTACTCAAACTTGTTTCAACACAGAGTCGAATTTTAAAAAACACGTGTAAAATCAGTCACACGTCAAAAACGTGTGTCGCATGTTTTCATTAACCTAAACTAAATAAAAAACGTTCATCAAAGCACCATTTAAACCGAGAAGCAGTGCATCTTTTGAAACTTGTATACGGTTCCAAACACGCACTTAGACGAGCAACTTTGTTCTTGCAATCCGCTTGCGGTTAATTTTTTTGGCTAGGGGTAAGAATTTATTGTGATAGTTATAAATAATAAATACAGAATAAATAATTTTTATTTTTTGAAAATATCTTTTCTCGCCTCATTGTATATTTTAATTGTGTCTGTTACGTAAAATTACGCTTTGGCACGAATTTTCTATATTTATATACTACTGATTTATATGATTCAACCAAGATATGAAGCTAGCTGAATTTTCAGTAAAAAATTTACCGTTATAAATAACAAAAATCATTATTGTTATTTATAACAGAATAATAACAATAACTTCTCACCTCTATCTATGAACTTTTGCTCTACTACTCGAGACCCATCTACCCCAAAAGTTTCAAGAATTTTCGCTCGGTCGTTTCTTAGAAATGTCTGGAAAGGCGGACGTCTCCTTCGGTCGATTTAAAAAAAAGGTTCGCTTCTACTCACTGTTATATGAAGTGATGTAATTATATTGACGTTGTTTTAGTTGATTTGTTAATAGATTTTTATATTAGAAAAAAATAATAATAAACACTTAACGCACAAGAGTATATTGTATTGTGTTGTATTCTGTGTGAAATGCCATTACATAAAGCATGTATATATATACAATATGATTCTTTTACTTGATATTTTTTCTCTTTC